CCATTGTTATTTCAGCGTTGCACTTGCACTAATCCTATGACGGACACATGACGAAGATATGATATAATTATCTAGGCTTTGATTGAATGGTAGAATTTTAAGATAAAACGTTTAATTTATGAAGGCAATTTTTCTTTCTTTTAATTTGACGTATTTATTAAGATATCATTTCCTTTCGATATTTTTCTGGTATTTTAACATTTGCACATTACAAAAAGTATTGTGATTGCTTCAAGCATAGAGCATGTCTTATTACAGTTAGAGCGAATATTTTTATTTTGTTGAACATTACCTGTACATTTATCAAGAATACGCGCTTTAATGAAAGAGACAGTATTATTAAGTTGCTGACGCTACAACAACAATTCATACACGTAGAACACGCTTTAAACAGCAAGATCATTAGCAAATAATGAGTAAAATAAATGAATCTTGATACCTACCTTTAAAGATTCTAGCCTACCAACAGCACCAGGCCTCCAGTGACCAAAAGGATTGTCAGAGCGTTTCTCTGTAATGACATCGTTCGGTGGCTCAAGAGTGCCACTAAAAGTTTACGCTTTTCTGACTTTCTGTCTAAAGACGTCCCTTCTGAACAAAAGCAAAATTTCAATGAGGAAAGGTGTTATTCTATGTAAGCCCGCATGCCGTCTGCTGTCGAGCCAGGTCTGTTTCACGCGATGGACATTCGATTTATGAACACAGCTCCCGCGAGCAGTACGCATGCGCGTTCTTAGGCATGTTGCATCAAGTGTGCCGGTGATTCCCGGTGCACTGACGTAAAGCATTTTTGACACACATTTAAATGATTTTGTCTTTGTGGAGAATGGGGTTAGTTTATCATTCCAAAAAAGACAGCCAGTCCTAATGATGTAATTACAGTTGGAATTGATTTTCTAATCCATAACGCTCTGTGCCTGCTTAATTTCTTACACAATCATCCACCACGATACTGGATTGTATAAATGTGCTGACAAGGTTTAATTTATATCGGGCAAAAGACCTACTTGTAAGAAATTGAAATTGATTAACCGAAGAGACCACAGTTATAGACACGATAAGTCCTCAAAGTGCCATGGCTGGCTGATGACGCGTATAAGGCCCTTTCCCGGTCTTAAGATCTCCTCGTGTGAACAGCACTAGTGACCGGGCATACGCTAATGTGACCGGGGCCTCCATCACACAGTCCATTACCTTTTGAACCCAAGCAAAAGGGACACTATTTGAAAAAAGGATTTAAAGGTTTTTTTTTTGTATCGAGAGAAATCTGTCCAATAAACTGAATAAAGCACGTGCATAGCAAGAAAATAAGACCTTATTATCTTTCCATTAATCTAAATCTGGCAGCCCGTGGAAACCAATTTCTCTACACGGGCATCCAATTGATGTTAATTCCCCAAGTCCCCGTCTCAGAGATAAAAAAATGGAGTGATGGGTCAGTTTGAGCAATGAAACTCTGTTAGAACAGATAGCTGCGAAAAGACATTGGACAACTTTGTTATTGCGATATCGGAAGACAAAATGAAATAAAGGTGTCATGGGTATTAACGACACAAAATGAAAGTCAAACGTCAAAGATAATAAATCGTCGGATCACTTAATCAATGGCCATCCTTTCTAAAAATTGAATTTTTTTATCTTGAACCACATTTGTAGTCAGCTTGAGAACGTAGAGTAGCAGCAGCATCAGTAGCGTTTCCATGAGGCCTGGGGAACTTCCGATGCAGGATCAAGGGAATTTTAAAGAAAGAAGGGAGGGGGTGATCCGCCATTTTTGTCCTCACCCACCTTCAACCAAATGAAACCTGATGCACTGCATATGTTTTTGCGGGTTTCCTCTCAATATGTTCTTTATCCCTTCTGGGAAGACGGAGAATAGATTAACAGACCTATTTTGGAGGAAAGGGGTGGGTTGGAAGGGTCCCTGTAGACTCACCCTTTTTTACCCGGTGTATGCCGATATTTTCAGTAACTGTGGGACATATAATGACAAACAATCGTGGCATCGGTTTAACGTTGATTTTCAAGGTGATCGAACAGAATTTATTTATTTATTTATTTATTTATTTATTTATTTATTTATTTATTTATTCAAATTTCCAAAATACTAAGTAGATTAAGATTTGTGAAATGCTATATCATATAAGCACTTCTCTACTGCTGTGAAACATGGGATTTGAACGCAGAAGAAACTGAGATGGGGATATATCGAAGTTTGGAGCGGATATCTTGGACTGAAAAGCTATCAAAATAAAGAGTTCTTCAGGAATTGAAAGTTCAGAGATTATATACGTCAACGCCATGTTCGTTAATTTGGGCGTTTACAGCGGCATATGGCCTCAAAAGACGGTCTCTCAAATTCTGGGGACGATACGTAGTCGACACAGGGGTGGTCCTGAAGAAGACAGGGGCCAGTCACAACAGAAATGATGATGCCACCTCTACCTCCCTTTCTCAAGGGAAATAGGGGGAGGACAGTATATATATCCCGATGTAGATGTTTTGTTAGACATCGAAATATTGGAGGTAAAACTATTTCAATATAAAGCTGTTAAATGAAGAAAAACTAGAGGATCAGAGAGGCGATACCGCCTCCAGATATTGTACCAACAGCTGGAGTAAGCGCATTCGTATGGAAACCCGTCCCAAAAAAAGGGACACCACCTCCAGTGTTGTGCTTGACAAGCTCTACAAAATGCAGTAAACAAGAGTTCTCAATATTTTTTGGTGAAAATTACCACTTAAAACAAAATCATGGGAAAAAATAAAAGTTTAAATCCAAATTTGTGAAGTGCGGTTCATGGCGAAAAGTAGGTCAAAGGTTAGTGATAATGACGATCGACTGTGCCGCGCAGTTGCTTTGCACAATACTGTACTTTTAGGGCCGGTAGAGCAATAAGTCAAACTTGCATCAGACCACGGTCTTGGGTGGATAGAATTTTGTAGAGACCGTCAGTTTTAGTCAGGATTTGACTTCACATTACGTGACGTTTTTGGATGATACGTTATCAGGGCTAATAAACGGATTAGGCGTTTACTAGCACTATCCGCAGATCTTTTAACACTAACACCTATATTAACCACCAAAACCACAAGTTAACCTTATCCATGTATAAGGCCTGAGTACATCACTTTAATTTAAATCCACTTCTTTCGTGAGGGCCATGTGTAAGATAAGTATGCGCACTTAACATGTTTTACCCTCTTTAAATAAAGTTTATTATTATTATTATTATTATTACATCCACTCAACGTTCCTCGGATCATTAAAACAGGCTCTTCCACAATGTGAAGCTTATAATATGCAGTCAAAGAATTCCAGAAACGCATTCCATAGCATAAATAGTGAATTTTTATTCCTCCATATACTGAGTACATGCCTAGACATCGGTCTGTTAGGTACATTTTACTTATATGATAGACGGCTGAACTCATACATAAATAATATAGCTAATATTCATTTACAAGTATATTTTTTTGTCTACATTGTGTTATTTTCGCTGAAATAAATAAACCCATCACTTTGTTTTTCATTTTGCCAGGCACCCGCATTTGGACGAAACAAAAAGCATCCATTAGCAAATACTATCACGATTAAAAATCAACAAGTTTAATACAAAAGGAATGTTTGCGAGATGAATTGAGAAAAAGTGAACGGATATAAAATGATTTACATGCATAGACCCTTTCTACGATTGAAGTTGACTGAAGAAATTAATAAACGGCGCATACAGCTTGACTCAGGTCTTCGTTTCGGTCATGTGGCATTGTATATGAACAATATTATCTGACAAGTGAGGGAAACACTCCTTTAAAACAGCTTCGATTGCTGATAATATACAAACTATATTCTTAGTCTGGCTTACTTGCAGATACAGTTATCAAAATAAGAAGGCTCGCTGTTTATTGTACAATAAAAAATACAACCATAACACCAGAATAAATAAATAAATAAATAAATAGGTAGAATAAACGACATTGGAGAGAGAGAGAGAGAGAGAGAGAGAGAGAGAGAGACATGTACATGTAGGCCTATGTATATACAGTGTTTAAGGACAAAATGTAGTAGGTATATCAGGTAATGAAATAATTCAATATCCGATCACTAACTGATTAAATCCATCATTAAGCGCTTAAAATAATAGAATCGAATTTAATATCCGCTACTGAGGCGCCCGGTCACGTCCATTAGTACAGCTGCTGTGAATACGATGGACATTTCAAGCGGATAAAATGTATCATACCCAGTATATTGGCATATTTGTCTTTTCATAACATATATACAGCGTGTGTGTATATTGATGAGATAAAAACATATCGGGTCCAATGGCAGACTTCATGGGTGATTCTAATGTTTTTAGACAATTGTGTTAATATGCTTTGCGTGGGCTGTAAGCACGGAGTCGGGTGACTGGTTTTAACTTTTCATATACTGCACTCGTTACTAACGTGAGAGCGTTGCTTGATTACAAATACATATCGGCTGGGAAGTCCATCCGAATAAGTTGGTTGTTATTTGGCATTTGTAACAGGTATGTGGATTACTGGTACTGTTTTTTTTATTTTTTATTTTATTTTTTTCAAATAGCTCCCATTACATTTGTGTCGTTATTTTCAAGTAGGCGAAGATATTTGGTAGATGCAGGCACAAATGCCAGAAAACAAATATGATCACACATAATCAGTGTGATGGAAAAGTAAACTCTCTGTTTACCAGTAGGCTTACTCGCTGCCGTTAAAAAAAGACGGTCGTCACATCACAGTGTGCACGGGTTACAATGTGTACCAGTATTTTTACCTGACAATGATTAGAATTTTAAAGAATTGTCTGATTATGAAAAGTATCTGTTTGGAAAATGCTTCCACTTTAGAAAGAATCATATAGTATTCAGCTAAAGCGGACCACAAAGGACTTTTAAGCGCAGGGTATATAGGCGCTTCACATGTGAGCTATATATTTGTGTTAAACAGGTAACAATAAACCTTTCGGGTCACAAACCACGACCCAGTTGCGACATAAAGTGAACAGAGCTGGTGTGAACTTTTTATACGCCAAACAAACACACATCTCGCTACGGCGGTGAACAAGGGGGTGAAGCTTATTTCATAGTACGTCGTGAATACGACCAAGAACAATTATGAAATACAACGTTTCGCCACGCTGGGAACTGACAAAAAGGACGGAAGGTCTTATGACGGGCTAACACAAGTGCGCAGTGAAGTCTGACGGAATAAATCTCACTCCCGCGACAGGTTAACGGTGTCGATGCACGATGTGGGCCTACCTGTAGACCTCAATGTCTACAACTACAGAACAGCCAGGTAAAGGGAATTTCCTGACCGAAGAAATACTAGTACACAGTCGTTCCCGAGTATTAAGCAAGACAAGTTAAAGTACGGCGGAACGGGCCGTTCACCTGTTGGTTTTGATTCGGAGGACTTTGATAACATGAACATCTATAACTGTAGAGGCCTCAGAGGCGGGAGACCTCGCTCAGTGTAGACATTCCAGTTTTGTGCCCGCATTCACGGTAAGTCTTATGTAAAAGATGGCGGTGGAGTGCTGGGTGATGTATTTTTAGTGCACCTCTGCACATATGATGCNCATTCGGTTTGAAGGCTTTAACCACTTGTTATAGTTTATTTTTGCATTGTATTGGATTAATGTGGTAGTCCAAGGTTGTTGTAGGTGGTTTTCAAGTTTATGCACCCGGTTTTAATATCATTTAGCGATTTTACGACAATCGTTTACTATCCAATCAAGGTGACAGCCGAGCGTGATGATGCAGACTATTACATATAAATTATAGACCGTATTCAAGGTAAGTACTACCCCAGTACACGTAGTACAGAGGTAGGCCTACAGCAGTTTAATAACGCCTACTCGTATAGTCTCATTCCTTGATGGATGTCTTCTGGGATATTGGGTCATTGGAATGATAAAAACTCTTCTTTTGATCTGGTATCATCGGAACGCTGTAACACGACTGATGGAATTATTTGCTGAACCGATGTGACAGACACAGCTGAATATGTCGTTCGTTTCCCATTACCTTGTACAGGGGACATTCGTGCAATTCGCGCAACCCTAACTTATATTATAACCCTATTCCACACTGATCAAGAATTCCAAGAACCGCCAGGAATTGAAAAATCTCAGGGTTCTTACTTTAATCGTGATAAATTCTATAATCTCTTAAGGTTCATTACAAACCAGGATTCAACATATGTTGGTTTCTAGCTTGTAATGAACCTATTGGGGAATCTAAATAAACATTGAGTTATAAAATGTGTCATGAAGGCGGGGTTAGGACATTAGGCACACTTTTATCAGTAGAACTTCCAACATATCGGAGTGAGCCTTACATCGTAGACAAAGCCTGCCGGCATCCCCTGTTATCAGGACCTAACTAAAATACTATACAAAATCACACTGGGCTTTCATCATGTTTGAAACAGACTACTAGCGTCCCCTGTGGGCAGAGAGTAGCATTCCAATATCAAATCTGGTGTTAAAAGAACCGTGAAAACAATCCCCCGTCACACACCTGTTCAATATGACTGTGTCACGCACCTATCAGGGTTTAAATCAGTGTGTCTCCAGTGGAAATGCTGAAATTACGACGGACCCGCATTTCTACATGAATAAAGTACAACACACAATTGTTGACACGCAAAAGCAAAAAAATACACCTGTTCGATCCATCATAATTTCCAATATTCGCTCGCACACGCAAGCACACACACACACACACACGCACACACACACACACGCGCGCGCGCACAGAGAGAGAGAGAGAGAGAGAGAGAGAGAGAGTTCCATATATATATATATATATATATATATATATATATATATATATATATATATATATATATATATATATCCCTTTATGACCTTATGAATTATTGGCATGTTTAAAAACTACACTGCAGTCGAGTCAGATGTATGCAGAGATATGTAACACCGCATTCACTATCGCACAATACTATCAGTATATGTAATATGACACTTCATTCCAGCCAGAAATATGCAGAGCTACATGTATATAACGTCGTATTCACCGTCACTCGACACTGTCAGTAATTTGACACTATGAGCATCTTTCCATGAAGACCTATTCAAGAAGACCTTTGTGACAATTTATCATAAGCACTCTAGCTGTACTGACACCATCAAAGAAATCCCAGCACAATCAATGCCAATGTATACTACTGTGCATGTGTTCACGTGCGAATGCACGCGCGCATGTTTGTGTATGACGTGAAACCCAGGTATCACGTACACGTTACTAATACTATGTACTAATAGCATATACCTGCTATCTTTAAGGTGGGAAAGGGTATTGGAAAATTTTAAAAATAATCTTTGATGTTTTTATTAAAAAAAACACAAAAGGACTCAATACAGTTGATTTAAGTGGCTCGTTTTGTCACAGCGCATCTTGTAATTTTGACACTCTGTCCGTTAAGTTGATTAGGTAGTGATAAATCATCATATGTATACACCCTTACACGCACGTTTCCGTAACAAACAAGATGGTATCAATGGTACCGCAACATTATTTTCACCGTCAAGTCATTATTTGTAATATTGTGCTTTCCGGTATGTGTTGGGGTAGGCCGCTAGTAAATGATGCTCTATGTCGGCGAATTAATATAATGAACAGGAGCCTGATACAGACCACACTAGACTTCGATAACAATTTATATACTGACTACTATTGCTTTAAAATGAGAAGAATGTATTCAAAATATGCTACAAAGTTGATGGGACAAAATGTATAAATACTGCTACGCTGCAGTGTACCGGTATAACAGGAATGGAAGTCAGAGGAATGGATGTCCGGGCTCCCATATGATAAGTACAGGTTAGGGTTATTTGCAGTATTGGGGTTAGTATGTGGAACGAATGTCACCTGTACAAAGTAATGGAAAACGGAATACGGTTTCTTCCATTTCTGTTACACCTGGACTGGACTGTGGTCAGTTGGTGGGGTGGATGAATGGGGTGTGGTGGGGTGGGTAGGTTCTTCAATTGCTCCACAGAGAAGAAAATATTTTTGGGCTGTCTTTCTTAACTAAATGCACAGTCGTTTCAATTCACCCAAACCAGCCTTGCCAAGTCTTTTAATTTTTCCTTCAATCAACGTCTACCAACAAGCTGTAAATATTGCCTGTCTGTGATGCCTTAGCGCACGTCATTGTGCTTCCCCCCTTAAAACATCCTTGATAGAATTTTATTTAGGATTTCGATACAACCTTTCTGAACTTCCATACAGTATACCGTACATGTATGTAGGCTAAGACCTATCAAATTAGCTCTAGTTGTAAGTTAAGCGTAATTTGTTATGTGGCCGAATGGTCTTCTAAGCGAGTTTGTCTTGATGTACGCGCACGTGCTCTTTATAAGGGACGTACATGTACAATTAAAGGCCCTGTTGTTGGTGTCATACATGAATACATGGTTGCACATTCTTGCTGACCATTTTAATTTCCCTTTCATAGCGTTGATACATCCGTATAAACACCGCTGTTGTTGCTCGGGTGGACAGAAATAATTAAATGCATTATTGAGAGAGAGACCCTTTGTACAAAATAATTTCCATCACAGTGAATATACTTAGCAAAATGAGGCCTCGATGTCGGTGGCATTAAAAGTACGAATTTCCGCCTTTTGCATCCCAAATAGATAAATTATGGATATTAAACATTCTGTTTAATCTCATTATGGTCAGCATTAAACACAGTGTTTCCAATAATTACATGTTGTACATAAGCATAATACCTCAAAAATTGAAAGAATCAGCAGTAAATGTGCAAATAAATAAGTGCTGATAGAGTAGCAGTGGACAATCGCGTGCCATGTATATGTAAACGATTGTGCATAATCATTTTTAAAGAATTATATTAAAATACAAACAATATATTAAAATACAAACAAAACGAAATTTTTGTGCGAAAATAATAATAAAAAAAACATTTTAATTGCTCCTGCACGAGCGTCTTTCATTTAAACAAAAACGGCAAAGAATATACTTTCAAACTGTTTTTTATGAATTTCAGGGCACCAAGGAAAATTCGACAAAAAAAGACGAAAAACCAGGAAACAAAGAAACCTCAACCATGACAGAAAAGGGAAGCTTATGGTGGAAAATCACCAGAAGAAAAACCCTGGACACGGACGTCCTTCAAACCCCCTTACGACGCTGTCTCACAACTATTGACCTCACCCTCTTCGGCGTCAGCCAAATGGCGGCCAGTGTCTTCATGTTGACGGGAATCGCTATGAGAAACAAGGCCGGACCAGGCGCGACACTCTCGTACCTATTCGCTGGCGTAGCGGCCCTACTGTCAGCCTTGTGTTACGCCGAATTTGGCGCCAGGGTGCCAAAGGCTGGCTCGGCGTACAGTTACACCTATGTCGTGATCGGGGAGTTCTTGGCTTTCATTATTGGGTGGAATGTAATCTTGGAGTATCTCATTGGCGCCGCGGCGTCGGGACGCTCGATAGGTGGAGCTGTGGACCAAATCTTTGGAGGACGGATTCATAATTGGACGGAAACCAACATTGGGGTGTGGTCACTAGGGATCGCTGAAACCTCCCCGGATTTTATTGCTTTCTTCGTTATTCTCATCACATGTCTCATTATCGCCATTTTGGGAACCCGCGAGTCGGTGTCCATGAACAATGTGTTCGGAGTTGCTAATATTCTGATCGTCTTGTTCACGGGCATACTAGCGTACTGTTTTGCAGACACGACGAAGTATACAGACGGTTTCTTACCATACGGATTTCCCGGAGTAATTGCAGGATCTGCTACATTGTTTTATGCATATATTGGCTTCGACGCAATATCCATAATCAGCGAGGAAGCCATCGATCCCAATGACTCGGTTCCAAGATCCTCCGTGTTTTCTGTTATACTAGTCACAGGACTGAATATCTTTACAACTGGCGGATTAAGTTTGCTTTTACCGTATTATGCGCTCTCAGAATCTGCCACCTTCGCCAACGCATTTGAGCGCAGAGGGATCTCATGGGCCGCCTTGCTGGTGGGCGTGCTTTCAATCTTCGCTCTGACGTCAAATCTGATCGCCACCCTGTTTGCTCTCCCAAGAACGGTCTACTCCATGAGCTCGGACGGTCTTTTCTTTGTGATATTTTCTCGGATTAGCGAACGGACGCAAACGCCGACGATCTCGATCGTAGTCTTCGGGCTCATCGCTGCCATATTGAGCCTTCTGGTCAGTCTGGAGGCTCTTGCAGACTTGGTGTCAATTGGTACGCTCGTTGCTTACACTTTTGTCGCTGGAGCGGTCATCGTTTTACGATACGCGCCCACAACCAGCCACTCTTTCGCAATGAAACCCGAACAGTTAGAAGAAGACTACGCCCCAGTCCTTGGGGACGCAGCGACAGAGGAGTCGCTCTCCGATAAAGAGAAATCTAAACTACTCCAAAGGAAAGATAAAATCCCGCAGAGATACTCTTACGCAGATTTCGGGAAGCTTAAAAGGTATTTCTGTGACGTGCCCGTTATTAGTGGTGCTGGGCCTGGAAAGATGGCGACACTAGCGACAGTGTTAATGGGGATGTTTATGTTTGCCTGGAGCGGCGTGGTGATATACTCCAAGGACTATCTCCTGGAGGGGGTTTGGTGGAGCGTTTGCCTCTTCATCTTCACCACCTTGGGACTGGTTGGCTGCTATTCGGTGTTGATAATGCACGTGCAGAACGATGCTTTCCTCACATTCACGGTACGTGTGGGCCTTTGTCACATACTTTGGTGCATCTGCATTTAAGAGTGGGTTCCCATAAACCTATTGTACCAGCAGGATCGATCTAACTCCGAGGGGATTCTCACTAAATTGCATTCAGTTTAAGCGGCTTAAATGTCTGTCACGCCCACTGAAGCTGTTAGTGGGGGGAATTCACTCTCATACACGTTTAAACTGAATGCAAATTAGAGAGAATCCCCTCAGAGATAGATCGATCCTACTAGTACGATTGGTTTATGGGAATGGTCCCTATATGTGAATCAACCTCACGGGTTAGTGTCTGAGTGCCGATCTACTTGATTGGCATGGTCAAACTTCTTTTTTTTCAGCTTGCCCGTCCTAATATTAAATAGCGCTTTGCCCTTTATAAGTAATGGAATCACTACCATTTGAATAATGAATGCAACTCAACGCGAATAAAGGTGAAAATAATAGGCCCTACTTGTTACCATATGCTCGGCTAATGTCAAATGAACAAAATATAGTCTTTAAACGTACCTTTGCAGACGGTACTTAACGTTAAGAACTACTATAAGTGGGTAAAATTTGACGAGATCTCTTCACAAATTAAAGATAACAATATTTAAATACTGGTAAATGTATCCATATATGACCAGCGTACACCGATCTTCCAGGATAAAATAATGACTGGTGAAGACATTTTACTTTAACACGCCATATTGACATATATATTTCAGATGCCTCTGGTGCCTCTCCTCCCTGCCCTCAGTATGTGGGTAAACATCGCTATGATGATGTACCTGTCCTGGATGACGTGGCTGCGACTGGCTATATGGGGAGTGGTTGGTGAGTAGCTACGTCTAAACCACCTTTTTTTGTTGTTTTTGTTGCAGAAATGTCATCCCCCCTCTCTCCCAACCCATGTTCGTAAAATATCGCGCGACAAAACATCGTGTCTTGAATGTTTTTTCATTAGATCGGACATTTGAGTGTGTTAGGTGGTATTTCACAAATCGCAACAGCAAACACATTGCTGATTACTGCGCCAAGTTGTCCGGTGTGACAGGGGTGGTAGTTCAGAGAAAGCCGTCCAGAGTCCCATGTTATAAGAAGATGTTACGGTTTCCCCCTTGGAGCTTATAGGAAAAATGTCGCTGTTATAATGACTTGCCAGTCATTTTAAGCTAAAATCAACCTTTATGAAATTCATCAAAGGTTGAATCCAAGCACAAAGAGAGACAGATAATTAACTTGTAAGTACGAGAAATTAAAATTGCTTATATTTTCGGGAAAATCCAGTTTGGCAGGTAAATATCATAGATCATGGGTGGATTGATGCCGCCTGCTGGGTCTTACGGAATGCGGTTAGATTTTCAAGTTTACACTTACGGGTATCTAATAGCACAGGTCTCAAACTACTGCGCATGTGCGAAATGTACGCTGTTTGAAATAACAAATGGTGAAATTGACAAAGCCTGCCAGTGTTTACCGTCTGGTTGATTTTATTTCATTAGCTCTCTGGTGTCTTTTTGAAAGTTTATAGGGGCATTTTTACAATCCTGGGCACTTTTCAGATTTTCCCACATATTGCTAATTAACAAATTACATACATATGATCAAAGAATTCTTTTATCACTATGTTAGAGAATGGTGTAAGTGAAGATAAACACTGAAAATAGAAACCAAACATCACCACCGAGTCCAAAGTTATGCTAAAGCAAAGCCCGAAAAATGACCAAAAATTTTTCCCATTTTAGTCATATGAAATAAAAAGCAATCTGAAATAAATTAAAACAGTGTTTGGCATGGCATTTTTGTGGATTATAAAACACTCTGTAGTATGGTGGAAGCAAAAAAGTTTAAATATTAACAGGAGAGAGGTGTATCCTAGAAAAAAAGTCTTTTAATGGCATGCTGGTATTTCCGTTAAACGAAATGTCCATTCCGAAACAAAAATAAATTATTTTCAGAAAATATATCATAAAACATACAGTATAATTAACCATCCTAATCATTATTTGGATGTATTGATATTTTTTGTATCAAATAATGAAATCTGCGCGATGATTCTGGAGCTTGACATGGAGTGCAAAATAACCCTACCGTATTTTTCCGTTAAATTTGTCCATTCCGAAACATTGGGTTTCTCTTACATAAAAAGAACATGTTGACACCTAGCCTGTTACAATATATATTAATCTAAAGCCCAGGGCATGTGATATTTATTTTTATATAAGAAAACCCCAGTGCACAGAAACCCATTTAACTGTGGCCTTTTTTGAGATGCTTGTTAAAAATTGTCCATTCCGAAACAAAGTACCTTTACATTGCCAATGTTATAAATAGAGAAAATTCTGTCTTTAATGCTGCATGTTTCACTTGACATGAGCAAATTACTGTAAAAGCATCATGCATATGACATAAAAATAATAGAAAAACATTTCTTCAATGGCAACTTTTTTAATTTCTATATATATCCTCAACAAAAAAATTCATTTTTGCGAGACAGC